AAAGCCCACGGTTCCTGGATTCCCTGTCTACCAAGGTCCAATTCACTGCTTTCGGACAGTCCTACAGAAAGAAGGGATAGCAGGAATATACCGAGGTGCAGGAGCAATGCTTCTGAGGGATGTTCCTGGGTACTGCCTCTATTTCATCCCCTACACGTTATTCTGTGAATGGATTACTCCTGATGGATGCATGTCCCCTAATCCCTCCTCCATCTGGCTGGCAGGGGGTGTAGCAGGTGAGCACCTCTTTTTTTTAATTATTTTTTTCCACAACACTGACAAAACAAGGATAGGAACATTCCCTGGGGGTGGCTGTCACATCCTCTTGGTCACCAGGAGAGGAGATGGGGGTGAACGACCTTCCTCCCTCAAGGGCCAGGTCTCCCTGGCACCAGGATTGAGCTTTATGACTTGACAGACTTTATGGAAGTCAAGTTATCAGATCTTCATCAGGCTCAATGTCAGCAAGAAGGAAAACAGCCAGCACCTTCATCTCCCTGGATGTCTCATGGCAGCCTGTGTGTCACATTGCCAGTGAGACACAGCAGCCAAGATGCCTCCAGAAGAGGACTTCAACCTGTTGGCTGTCCACCAGGAGGGTGTGCACCTTACCTGCACGCAGAAGAAGCAGAGCTGATTGTTATTGAGCTGCTGCTTCTTTTTTTTCCTGTCTGTACCTGCCAGTAAGGCCAGCACATGTGCTCCCCACCATGTCTACACCTGTAAGGTCAACCCCTACACCTGCTCCCCATTTTTTGACCATTTCTAAATTGCAGACCCCTAAATGCCGATCAATCCTTAGCTCAGGTAATGATTACAAAATGCCCTCTCCATTTCTCCTACAAATAAACAGAGCCCTGGCCCACCTGGACAGCTTCTCTGGTATGCCCCAACACTCACATAGGTCCAAACAAACTCTTGTCTGTCCAACTGGGCCAGGTATTGCAGTCACATACTGACCTTTTCAGAGAAGCAAATCATCACACCTGGCTGCAGGCTAATCAGTGTAAATAGATTGTTTCTTTATAGGAATGACATGTCTCAGCTACGTGGCTCCTAATCTTGGCTCCATGAGATGGACTAGCCTCTTATTTGCACTCTCAGCTCAAACTTTGCTTTTCCACAGTATTATCTGAGGACTCCAGTTTTTTTTCTGGAATTGCTCCCCGCAGCTGGGGCTCGTCCCACCAGAAGATGCATTTACACCTGAGGGAGCACCTCCTGGGCTGTCTGCGTTTGATTACCAGCACAACTCCTAAAATCTCAATGCTTCTCCTAAAAATAGAGAACTTTGTTCCCAGAAATACTGTTCCTGTGCCCGAGCAGAGTGAATGCCCTGAAATGAAAATCCCAGGAATACAATGTGGTAGATGAGAAGTGAATTTCTGAGTTCACTGACCTGCAGCTGAGGAAATATATAGAGAAGAAATTGTTCAAATACTTTTACATTTTTCTAGGAGCCATTTCCTGGGCAACTGCTACTCCAATGGATGTTGTGAAAAGTCGACTTCAGGCAGATGGAGTTTATTTAAACAAGTACAAAGGGACCCTTGACTGTATCTTGCAGAGCTACCAGAAAGAAGGCTTAAAAGTAAGTGGTATTTGAAGTGAAATCTGAACATTAAGCATTTAATTTTCAATAGGGGAAATACAATGGCTGTTACAAACCTCTCTGCAGGGTTGAGAGACAGCTAAAGCTAAATGAGAATAATGACAGTAGGTAATTAGAGTGCAGATTTTTTCTGAATCATAATAGTGAGAGTAATAATGCACCTTAAAGCAATGAAAAAATGAATGACTGGGGGTTATGGTCTGCTGGTGTAATTAACTTAAACCAACACTTCATGTCAGTGCATTTATTTAATTGTGGATGTGATGTGAGTTATCATAAATTACAGGGAGAAAAATTTGCCTCTGTGATTGCTTTGACAAAACGCAGAGGTCAAATGTTTCCCATTGGCACCGAAGTCACAGAATCACAGAATGTTGGGGATTGGAAGGGACCTCAAAAGATCATCCAGTCCAGTCCCCAAGTCAATGGGAACTGATTTCGGTGGGACTGTGCTGACACCCAAGGTGTGTTAGGTTGCCTTGGGCAATGCTTTGGTGGAACTGATGCTGTGGTTTGCACTGTCCACACTCACTTTGCACCAGGATAGAGCTGATTGAAAATGCTGTTAAATCAGAATTGCTTCGGCTTCAAACGTGAAGAAGGGCTGCATGCCAAGAAAAAACCAACCTTATCTCCTTTTTCTGGCTTTGTCTATCAGTGTAATAAAAGTTGTTTGTTCTACCTGCAAACTTTGCTTCAGTTAAATGTGAATGGCAGAGAACCAGGGTTTGTAGCTTTATTGCACTGCCAGTGCATGGTTATGAGAAACGATGGCTTCTGATATTGATATAAATCTGTATGTAAGTTGTCATCAGAATATCATGTGGGCTCTTAGCTCCAAAATGTTAATTTTCACATTCTGAGGGAGAAGTAACAGTTAAAAACCAAAAAAACCTGGAAAATTACATGTCAGTGTGATTTAAATATTTGCCAACGTGCCATGTATTACATGCTAGTTGTCACAGGAGCCTGCAGTCCAGTTTGGTTTTTGCTGTTGAGTGAAGGAAGTCACATTCAGATGAAGAACAGGCAGCACCTGGAGAGATGCTAAAGACCATGCTGGGGTGGTCAGAGGAGGGTCAAGGTGCCCCAGGCTCTATGGAGGCTACTTGCCCTGCACGTTCAGTTTGCCATGCAGCTCCACAGTGAAACACAGTGGGGCTGAAAAGGGAATTTCCATGTGTTTTTCCTTCTCTCTCCATCCTCATCCTCACCCTCACCCTGTACTTTCCTTGTCCTGCCTGAATATTAGCAACTGATTCAGGCACTTGTTGGTTGTTTCTTGGTTAGTTTTTTTTTGAGATCTGAGTTGTATGCAGTTTTTCTGCCTGGCACCTGGACTAAAGCCAGCAATAGGATTGAGTAATAGTTGATGATAAGACTAAATCCTTCTCTCGTAAGGAAAATCTTTTTATATGGTGAGAGAGACAGAATTGATAAATGGCAAACCTAGCTCTGAATGTTTTCATTTTGGGACAAAGGAACAGTATTTGCAGTGCTGAAAATAATTACCTGGCACACAAAAAAATTGAAATATAGCCCTCTTCTTTCTCCATAGTCGAGTGTGTTCATTCTGATGAGGAAAATATATGCTTCTGGGTTTTTCTTCATAAACCTTCGTTATTATTTAATGTGGCTCTCTTGTGTTACTTTATGGATACTGCAAAAAATTGAGTTTCCTCTCAGAAAATTCTATCTTTCCTAGCAAAATAAACCACCCCAATCAATCAAATAATATCCTAAATATCCCAATAATGCAATTTCATGTTGCAAAATCCATCCTAAAAAATGTAAAGATGTTTTGATTCTGACTTGTACAAGACAGTACCATGCATGGGATACAAGATATGGTGTTTAGCAGAACTCAGTATTTCAGGGGAAATACTGATTAGACACTTAAACCTCTGGGCTTCTGATCTTGGAGCTGAGATCTTCCATGCTTTCTTACAGTAACCGTGGGAGCTTTGCCTTTGCAGAGCCTGGAAGGGAACTTGCTTTGCTGATGTTATTTTTCATGTCTGTTCTGAACTTCTGGTGTTTAGATTAGTGACCATGGTGTTTAGCTTGGATGGTTAACAGAGTGATTTTGGTGAGAAACAGGCCACCAGAGATACTCCCTGCAATCATCCTTTTGTAAATAGGCTCTACCCCAGTGAGTGGTTGGTGCACACCCTTGCACGTTCCAGGCAATAGCGTTTGTGGCGAGGAGGAGGAAGGGCCCTTCTCCACTTTCCAGAGAGCACTTTACTGTTCAAGCACTTAAAAGCCACAGGGTCTTTCACTCTTGTAAGTGCCATCATCTTTTTTTTTTTTTTAAATATATATATATATTGAGCAGAATGGGGAAGGTTAGCTGTGGATATTTATTATTTTAATGAAAGAAAATGTTGGGATACGTATGGGCACCAAAGCTTGACCTTAGGAACCCACACATGAAAATATCAGCTTCCATCAAATATTTTTTCCTGAAGCTGGTGGCAAGAGCTAATTCTCAGCAAGGTACAGTCTAGTTTTCTGCTGATTGAGAAATTGTTTTTATGCTCAAAGGTGAAACCTGCAAAATAGTCCATGTGGCACAGTGCCCATGTCAGCTTGGCTGATTCATAGCCATGCCGCTCCCTCTCTGCTTCCCAAACGTCTTCTGCACCCATGGACCCAGCCCTGGGAGTCAGAGCATTTGTTGCAGGAAAGCAACAGCTTTCTTCTTGTGCCCTGGGGTTTGTGTGATCCCCATGTGCTTATGTACGCAAAGGGAAGGAGAGGCTGTAGCTAGGTAGGACAACATTGGAAGACACTTTTGGTTTCTTGCTTTCTGCTCTAAACTAGTGGCATGAGGCCATTTTTTACCCTCTACTTCTTGTAGCTCTTGCTGGCAGATACAAAGGGGGATCCATAGGGAGCGTGGAGCACAATGATACCAATTTTTAGACCTTTGCCACTGCATTTCCAGTCTCTGGCACAGACTTCAGCCAAGATTGGCAGTGAGAGTGTATCGTCTAAGCAAACCAAGATTTGGTTCTTCAGAATCCCACCATGACTTCAATGAATGTTTTCTTCTTCTTCTTAAAACAGACAGTATATTCCTATTGTCTAACCTTTCTCCATCCCCAACAGGTCTTTTTTAGGGGCATCACGGTCAATACAGTGCGAGGATTCCCAGTGAGTTCAGCCATGTTTCTTGGCTATGAACTTTCCCTCAAAGCAATGAAAAGAGACCAAACTGAGACCATTCCTTAACTTCCAGGTCAGCACATAAAGACCCTCTAGCTTTATTACAATTAAAGAATTAATCTTTGAATCAAATGGAGTTGCAATTATATAGATCCTCTGAAAGTCAGGTAACTTACGTGGGTACCTACATCTGAATAGTCAAACACTTTTCAGATTTGGGTCTGTGGGATTTGGAGCAGACAATAGATGTGCTGATGGATTTTGGTTTCATTCCAGATCTCCTGGAATTTCATTCCAATCCATTCTGATTGTTGTGATTGTTTTGATTAGTGCGAATCAGCAGAGAAAATCTGAAAGGAGAATATTCTCTTAACATTTTCTAAGTTTTGAAATATCATTCTCAGTAAAGTCCCTGCACAGTACCCTTTCTTCCCTTGATTCATCCACAAAGACCTGAAATTAAACCCTTTCAAAGTGTCTTGACTATCAACTCACAGTTTTACGTTGTCCCTCATAAACCTAGGGTCACATAAAGGAGCAGCATTAAAAATATCTGATTGCAGAAACTTTTTTAGCAGTTAAATACTCAAGATTATTCTTGGCAGTCTTTGCTGTTTTCTGCAGTACGTTATAAACCTCCTTCTTTCTTATTTCAAAAGTGTTGCCAAGAAGACCTGAAAGTCTCCTACTTTCCTGAGCCAAATCAGCAGTGAGGTGTTGGTGAGAGCTCAGCTGCTCTGACCGAAGAGCTCCCGTCCTGCATCTACAGACTTAGTCCGTGGAGGACTCTGAGAACTGCACCAGCTCAATCAAATCCAAAGACCATTTTGTTATCAAATATTTCACTCTCTTGTCTAAGAGCACCTTAATAATTCCCACGTTGGTGTTGGACTTTTTCCACCAATGAGATTTTTCCCATTGAGCCAAGAGAACAACTTACTTCCCTTACCCACACGAGTGAGGTGATACACCCCAACCCAGCCCACCCAACATCAGCCAAGGGACCGCCTTTCGTACAACACTATGTATAATGTTCATCTTTCTTGTGGACAAAGAAAGGGGGAGGTGTAATGGGTGTGCAGGTGCTTTTCATGTAGGAAGATCTGGATTCTGACCACATCCTAGCATGCTTTCAGGATCAAAGAAATGGATGATTGCACCCACACAAATGGATTGCACCCACACGTTTTCCAGCACTGAGCTCTCCAGTTTGCCACAATTTGGGCAAGATAATAATGAAATGAGGCGAAGGGCTTCAGCAACATCCAAGGTATCAATTAAATTGAGAAACAGGAGGGTGTTAAATTCAGATATGAAGCTGCTATTTTTCCTTCAAAAACAATAAAACAAGTCCGCATTTCATATAGATGACTGCCTGTTAATTTACCTAATGTGCCTTGTGTAGCCCTCCAGGAACCTGCTAGAGGTATCTTGTTAGGCCTCCTGATTTCCCTGATGTGACAGTCCACCTTGCCAACTGCCAAATCCTGCAGACATCACTTTGCAGCCTTCAGAAACCATCACCAAAGGAAATCTCTTTAAGGGATGCAGAGTTTATCCCAAACTATTCTCTAAAATACACCAGCCATCTTCAGACCTCCAGCCCTTTGCTGCAATCCCACTGAGACAACTGGGGCAGGCCCAGGTCTCTCTTTGGTCTACCTCAGCCTTTCCATTATTCCAAGATCTTTTACACCATGAATATTTCTAATAATGCTGTTAAATATCTCTATGATTTATTTTCTAAGCATGGAGCTTCAAATGCCAAGAAGAACCAGCTCTGCTGGGACAAGAGGGCTCTGGTGGCACTGGCAGAGAGGATGAGGGGTAACAGCCTCGCACACAGAGGGACACATGGCATGGGGAAACCCTTTGGGAGAACACTTGTCTAGGAAATGTTAGCAGATGCCCTCAATAAAAGTTTCTGAAGACAACCAGGAGCAGCCACCCAGCTTTCCTCCAAAAAAGGAGAAGGAAAGAGAAACTCCTATGTCCTCTTTCTTGAATGAATGGAGGAATTGGTGACAAGACTTGAAGACCTCAGTAGAAAGTGCCTAAAAGCCCATGTCTAGAGCAGTACTCAAAAACGAGGTCCCCAACTTTGGACTCTTTGCTGGGACCCAAATTAAAAACAGAACTGTGGCTTCCACTAAAACCAGCCTTAAAAAGTAGTAGAAACAGCTGGTACTGGTTCATCTCAAGACTTGAGGTCTCCAACTTTGGAGTCTTTGCTGGGGCCCAAATTAAAAAACAGAACTGTGGCTTCCTCTAAAACCAGCCTTAAAAAGTAGGAGAAACAGCTGGTACTGGTTCATCTCAAGACTTGCAGGTGAAGGAAGCTCACGGTGCCTTTGAGCTTGGCAAGAACACAGGGAATAGTTTTTGATAAACAGGACAGATAAAATTGATGAGCCTTCGCACAAGTATTTGCTGATGGGTGCATTTCCATGGTACCTCTTTGAATGCATATACGTAAAACATGTTCTCTAGATGTGGAATTTCATGTGTCTCCAGGGATAATACTTTGGGGAGACTGGTTTTTCAGTGCAAATAAATGGCATTGCTTCTCTGCCTGCATTATGTAAAATGGACCATGAATTAATTAAACTGATGAGGTTTGCAACGAGCTGTGTATCTGGATGATCCTGCCCTCGCGGTGCCCAGGTTTGGTCTGTTCAGTGCCCCCCTGGGTGTAAAGCCCTGAGATCATAGAATCATAGAACGGTTTGGGTTGGAAGGGAACTTAAAGCTCATCCAGTTCCAACCCCCCTGCCAGCAGCAGGGACACCTTCCACTAGACCAGGTTGCTCAAACCCTCATCCAACCTGGCCGAGAACACTTCCAGGGAGGAGATGCATGTTGGAGTCGCATGGTGATTTTTCTTTATATTCTTCATCCAGTTAATCCAGTTTTGGTTTAACCAGCCTGCTTAACCATGCTAAACCAGTATGCTTTAACCAACCATGATGTCCAGCATTTACTCGGACAAAACTTTTGTGTAACACACACCCGCCAGGGGAAGCTGTGGACTATCTGGTGTTCAAAGGGAGCAGAGGGCAGAAAGCTTTTAATATAAAAATATACAAAGAGGGAAGGGAATAAAAGGCTTTGGCCACATGATGGCATCCTCGTCCGTGGCTCCCTGCACCAATTTTGAGCTGCCAGGTTCAAATCTCTTTCTGCCTCGCTCCATTCAACCCTGAGTCCAGGTTTGCTGCCAGACCCCTTCCCACCAGGGGCAGCCCTATGCCAGGCAGTGTGCAGGTGATTTTAGGATGCTCCTGCCCTGCCAAGGGTTTCCCCAGCCCAGCAGCATCGGACACAAGCCCTCGACGTTCTAGTTAATGAGTGTATCACACTCCGTTAGCATTCATAGACAAACCACGAGTGAGGCAAAGCAATGGCGAGCTGGGAGCATGAGGATTTACAGCCCCATGTAGAGCTGCTGTCACCCTCATGGTCCAGGAGGTCCATGCTTTCTCCTGGACTATGCAGAAGGTCAGGTTGATGCTGGATCAGGCATCAATAGGGTTGGGACAAGCAGCGTTTGAGGCACAGCACTTTGTGGCACAGTGGTACCCATCGCTGTAATGAATCACTGCAGATCCCTGCACACTGAGCCCCATAAATCATTTAGTCTTGTTTTTGAAGTAGAGAGTGACTGGCTGTGTCACGGAGGAAAGAGGTCCAGTGGTGGGGCTGGGTGACACTGCAGGGGGTCAGCCCCACGTCTCAAAGACAAGGGATGGCACGCAGAGACTTGATAGGTCTGTGTCTTGTGAATGATTTTCTTTATGATCTATTAAATGCATTAATTTTTAGAGGTAATATCGATATCTATTGTTAGAAATCAGGACCTCTATGGAATCCTCTTTGGGGACCTGCTGATGGGAGTTCAAAACAGTGCCTGGCCTGGCAGGCAAACAGCCACACATACAGCTGATTCAAATCCCTTCTATGGGGCACTCATTGCATGTGTTGGTACTTTTGTCCCTGAATTACACACAAAAAACCCCTCCATGTCAGTGGAATTCAGGATATGGACCTGTTCCTCTGTCAGTCCTGTGGCCATAGTGACCTGCTGTTGGTGGCATGTTCCCCAGCACCATGCATGCTGGAGTGGGAGAAGCCATCTGCTCAATAGCTTGTTCAGATGCTCACAGAGCCCTGTGATAAATGCAGTAAATCCTGAAATTGGTAAAAAATAAGAAAGGAGACCAGAAAGACTGGGGATACCTCCTTCTATGTTTTTCTTGCCTGAAATATGAAAGCATACTCAGACCTGTTATGCCTCAATTGAGTCTGTAATTTCTTGACTATCACATTGCTGGTCATGTTCCAGCTCTTACAACACCCCATGTTACTTAACGAGAGGCTGGCTGTGTAGCTGTTTTTCCCAGTTTATACACACTGCGTAGTGCTACGGAAGCAAAAACAGGTAACAGCAGCAGATGTCACCATTTAAAACCAACCAACCAACCAACCAACCAGGAACCAAAATCCCAGTGACAAGCTATTTTTCTGGACAACAACTGTGACCTGGAGGAAGGTCTTTGGTCCTGGGAGAAGCTTCATGGTGCCCATGGGGTGTGAGGTGGGTGCAGGCTGGGGCAAGGAGAGGGTCACCTCACCTCCCTGTTTCTCCATCCCCACTGCTGCTGGCACCTACAATGTCCTTAAGTCCTTCTCCCAGGCAGGGTGAAGCTGACATCCCATGCAGGAGCTTGCCCTCAGTGCTTTTAGTGCCTGCTGAAGCCCTGGGATGGCTTCGGGCCAGGCTGAGATTTTCTCACGCCTCGGGAGTCCCTTCACGGCGTGTCCACACCTCGGGGGAAGGCGAGATCACAGTCCCCATCTCAGTTTCTCTTTTTCTGTTTTACTCTGAAACAGAGGAGTAGGTGACGTCTTTGCAGACATTAAGATATATCATATCTCCTCAGTTCATCTGAAGTTCCTTGTTTTGTCATAGAGATTGTTATAGTGGAGATTCCTCTCCTAGATATTGCATTCATGTGAGCCAAGAAGACCAATGCCTATCTTGTATTTGTGAAGAAAAAGGTAAAGTG